CAGGTAACAAGTTAAGCCCACTTCTCCCCTGGACCCTGGGACGTTACACTTCAGAGCTTACTCCAGGTTCCTGAGGTGTAAGACAGGCCGAAGGCTTATTTAGCCACTAAAAGTATTTGAATACATTTGAAAACAATGGAGAAAGAAATTCTGAAAGGGAAAGGGGTGGTGTCTATTTCCCAAAAACCAAATCATTGAAGCCAAACGCAGCCTCTCACAACAATGTGAGCCCTTCACATTGCCCCTTATTTTTCATTTTTCTTACAGTTGAATGCTCTCCAGGAGTTTTAAAAACAGGGGTTCCAAGTCCCTGCACAGAGATGCTGAGCTGCCCACCGGTGAGAGAGGAAGGGAGTCCTAATGTGCAGCCCTGTTGCCAAGCTGAGCCCTGGAGAGAACTTCCCTTGTTAGGAAGATCGCAGGTGGTGGGGCAAACTCAGATCCCAACAGTGGGGCTGCTTTGTGTAGGGAAACTGCCCAGAAGTTGGAGCCTGTGGCATTAAAAGATGATGATGGAACAAGATGAGGAAAAATACATGAGGAAAAGAAAAGGAACCACACCAGTTTAAGTCCTAAAAACCTAATCACCTTGTTTGGATCCTGATTCAAACAAACCAACCTTTATTTTTTTTAAGGTTTTATTTATTTATTTTTAGAGAGGGAAGGGAGGGAGAAGTAGAGAGAGAAACATCAATGTGCGGTTGCTGGGGGCTGTGGCCTGCAACTCAGGCATGTACCCTGACTGGGAATCGAACCTGCCATGCTTTGGTTCGCAACCCGCACTCAATCCACTGAGCCACACCAGCCAGGTAAACCAACTTTTAAAACAAACATTTTTGAGATAATAGGTTATAAATTTGATATGAACTGAGACCAGATAAAAGAAGAAATCATTGTCACTTGTGTGAGAGAGGCAAAGCCTTGTAGTTATGTAGAAACACCTCAGTTTTAGAGATGAATGAGAGTGTGGGGCCCAGCCCACTCTGAACTGCAGAATTACCACAAATACTACTGGAAGGTGAAGATATTTGAGATCCAAACAACTACAGAAGAAAGCCTTCTGGAAGCTTTCCTTATCTGAGTAAAAGCCGCAGCTTCTGGGAAATGAGGCTGCCATAAACCCCTCCCTGGGGCAGTCTTGGGGCCCTGAAGGAGGTGGAAAGGTCACTCACAGCTGTGCAGACAAACACTACCCCACACTTTCTTATGTCCTCCATTCTCCCCAAAACCCTTTTATCTTGCCTAGAGAGGCCTTATCTCCCCCTTCCTTTTTCCTAAGTTTTCTAAGCCTTTAAATGTTTAATAAGCCACTGCTTCCTTTGTTGACACCCAAATACATATAAACTAGTTTTTACCTGTCAATAGGGCTATCGTCAGTTTCATCAGCAGGCCCCAGCCACGGAACCAAGAGGTGGTAACAGGTTGGAGTTGCTCAAGAAACCAGACAGATGCAGTGAGCCAAGAAGCAGGGTTTACTAGCAGGGAATAAGAGGGGAAGTGGAGCCAACCAAGGGAGGATAAGGCTCACTGGGTTGTTCTTAGAGCAGGGTTTTTAAGCACAAAAATTCATGAAGGGTAACTAGTTGGGGTGTCAGAGTCTCATTGGCTAGAGAACGTTTCTGATTGCCATTTTTGTTGATCATTGTTTTTGATGCAACTCATCCTTGGGTTAAGGCTGCATCGTGTTATCCCAGATCTGCCGACCCCAGACCTCAATCTTAGCCGAGCATCTTTTTGTCCTGGGTAAGGTCGGCAGACAGTTTCCCATGGTGTAGTTTCCTGCCTGGTGATTTTCCATTCCTCCTGGGCCTGCCTAGATCTGTCAAGTGGAGGAAGTTTTCTCTACCTTGCAAAAGCACGGAGAGGTGAACCTGGTGATATCTGGGGTTTTTTTGTTTGTTTGTTTCTTTCTTTCCTTTGTTTCATTGTTACTCTTTAGACAAGACTAAAGAACAGGACAAATGAAGCAAATAAAGTGAAATACCAATCTGTACAATTTATATGAGGGGAGACCCCCCAAAAAACTGGGATTATCTTCTGAAGGATGGGCCCCTTGTAGGACAGGCTTTCCCCCCTAAGTGAGTGTTCTAGGAGCCCATCTGTACTAGTGTGCCAGCAGGCATTGTTGTGAGAGGCTGCGTTTGGCTTCAATGATTTGGTTTTTGGGTTTTGTTTTGTTTTTTTTTTGAAGACTCAACACCTTTGTCCATTTCATTATGGGTAATTTATAAGCACACCTGCCCACACCACGCTGAGTGGTCAGCAGCTTTTGGCTAAAAACAGTACAACCCCCTGCACTCCCCATGCCCCCGTCCCTGTTCGCCAGATATTGCCCTCAGTTACTTTTTTGTTTGTTTGTTTCCCCAGATGAAAAAGTCCTCAAAGGGAAATGTTTTGCTGATATGAAAGAGGTAAAACAAAAACTAGTGAAAGCACTAAAAGGCATCAACATCGACGAGTTGAAAAACTGTTTTGAGCAGTGAAAAAAATGTTTGGATGGGTATATTTAATCAAATGGAGAGTACTTTGAAGGTGGCTGAAGTTTAAACATGTAAGAATAAATGCACAATTTCTTATAAATAAATTCCGGTTTATCTTGCATCCCTCCTCAAACACAGAGTCCAGTGTTCTCTTGAATTTTTCTTTTGAAGTTTTTATAGATTGAAAGAAACCCTCAGACCAGAATTCTCTCTCCTGCAAAAGTTAGTCAGGGCATTGCAATTAACAAACGGTGCTCCCTCTTTCTGGGATGCCGTATATCCTAGTAAGAAGGCAACACTCAAGAAACACCCATCCGGGCGCCTGGAAAGCCAGCCGTCTACCTCCATCCACGGCTGGTCGTCTTCACCCGCACTCCCGGGAGAGGACACCCGTCCATTGCGCAGCCCTCCTGAGGTAGCATGAAACTTAGTTTCCTCATCTGTTGGCTCCCCAAGAGCTAGAACTTGAGGTGTGTGCAGCCAGCAGCCATGGCTAGGTTAGTGTTGGGAGGCAGCAACCCAGCAAAACCATCTCCAGGCTCTGGTAAGACCCCAGGGGCACCCCCTGCCCAGTTCCCCTCTAAACCCGGCCCGCCTGTCCTAACCCGGGGCCCGGTTGTGGCCCTCTCTCCTCACCCGGTGCTTCTGGGGTCCCCTGGGGCCCGCAACTCTCATCACCTCTCCCAACGACCACTGTCACCTTCCCAACCGGGCGTGGGTTTCTGCTGCCCTGTCCACCCTCGCCTCCCTCCCAACGCTCTCTCTCCTCCCAAGCTGCTCTTCCCTCCTCCTCTGAAAGTTTTCTCTGTCACGCAGGCCAGGTGTCCACCCCCTGCTCCTCAAATCGTCTACCTGCATGCCGAGACAAGGCTACAGTCCCTTTCCACCTTGGCCCATCCATGTTAGTCTGCTCCAAACCCCACCCTTACCCGGGACACGGCTCTTCCACTTTTCATCCCTGGCCAAGTCCGCTCCCACCCCTGCGGGTCCACAAGCCTCCATCCCCTGGGTGCCGGGAGCACCGTAACTCCGCCCACCTCTGCTTCCTGCAACCGAGCACGCACACACTCAACCCCTGCAGCCTCTCCACCCCTGCTGACGCCACAAAGCCTGTGCCCCCGCGGCCACTGACACCCCCCACCCTTGACAGTCTCTGTGGCACAAGTGCAGGCTTTTTGGGGCCTTGTTTGCGCTCGCCGTCCGCAGCGGCATGTACCCCGCTCCCTGGTAAGTGCCAGGCCATCCAGAGGCGGGAGGTGGTAGCCCCATCCGGTACCCTGGGGTCCTGGCTTTGAAGGTGGTTATCAGTTGGAAGCAGAAGGGTCACCTTGTATAGCCGGAATCACAGAAGCTCCCTGGGACAGAGGGTGCCGGGTCCACCCTCACTGACCCGGACTCCTTGGCCTGCTTCCCCTGAGCCTAAACCAGAGACCATGACCAAGCAGGCAGTCCTGCGCCTTCAGGTGGGTGGGCAGCAGAGGCAAGACTGACCCTAAGGGCTCTGCACAGAGAGAGCCAGCTTCCACAAAGTGAACTCACACTGTCTGGAATCTGAGCCATCGCTCAGGGTGATGGCAGGAAAGGAAGTCCTGGATAGTGCTGTGATTTAGAAACGATTTTCAGATCTTCTGACTCACCTAGTGACCACCCTATGAGGTGCATGGGGAGGCTTTGAATCTGCACTGGATAAGGATGTGGGTATTCAAATGCCAAAGTGTGTGCATGTACATGTTGTGTGCGTGTACATGCTGTGTGCATGCATATGCTCATGTTTGTGTGCCTGTACATGTGCATATGTACTATGTACATGCATGAATAATTGTGTGCCTTTTCTGCACGGCACCTTGCAAAGAAAGCCAGAGTTGAACTGTAGAGCAGTAGAAACATTTTACTCAGGACTACTGCAGTAGGGGAACAACATAGAAACCCATAGAAAGCTCAACTCTGAATATAGAGTGAGCCAGTGGGGATTTATGGCCAAGGTGCAGGATGGGGTTGGGGATGTAAAATTACTAAGAGGAAACATCTGGGTAGGGGGCTTCTGTCTAAACCCACAAATTGGGATTCTTACTAAACTTGGACAATGCAGAGACAAACATGAAAGCCCAGGGCCTCTTTGGAAAGTTCCGGGAGCCTGAGCAGAGTTTGGTCAAGCAGATAACTTTGCCAGCTCTGATTTTTCTTCTTAGAGTCCCCTTTTCCTTTTTGCATGGATGTCCTGTTAAAGAGAAACTGATTCCGACACTTGTTCAACTGGGAAGGAAGACTTTATTCAAGGCTACTGCAATAGGAAGGAAGATGGGGCCACCTGTGAATTCAGCCCACATAGTGGGGATGAGTGGCCAAGGGCATTAGTGAAAAGGGAGTTAGTGATGGAAAATCACTAGAAAGATGGGGAGGGATCTTCTTACCAAACTGGCCTAGCAGGATTCCTGCACATTCATCCTGCTGGGGGAGATGGGGGATGCTGGACTAGATCATAAGTCTCAGTGGGGGCCAGGGCTCCAAGTGGAATAAAACTGGGTGTGACTGGGCAGAGACTGGTAGCTCAGGGGAGCCTGGCTGGTTTGGCTGTGGAAAGGCTCGTTGTCAGCTTCAAGACAGGCACCTGTGCCTCTTACTGCAGACAATTCAGGTACCCCAACAGGACCCTGTGTTCAGGCCCCTCTAAGAGGACAGCTCAAGTGCCTGGAGCTCTGGGCAGAGGGTGCAGCGGGGTGCTCTGTTTCTTTCCCAGGGGCTATGGATGCCGTGGAACTTGCCAGAAAGCTGCAGGAAGAGGCAACATGTTCCATCTGCCTCGACTACTTCACCGACCCTGTAATGACCACCTGTGGCCACAACTTCTGCCGCGAGTGCATCCGGCTGACCTGGGAGAAGGCCAAAGGCAAGAAGGGCAGGAGGAAACGCAGGGGCACCTTCCCTTGCCCTGAGTGCCGTGAGCTGTCCCCCCAGAGGAACCTGCGGCCCAATCGTCTGCTGACCAAGGTGGCTGAGATGGCACGGCAGCACCCAGGCCTCCAGAGCAGGGACCTGTGCAAGGTGCACCAGGAGGTCCTCAAACTCTTCTGTGAAGATGACCAGAGCCCCATCTGTGTGGTCTGCAGGGAGTCTCGGGAACACCGGGCCCACAGGGTGGTCCCAGTGGAGGAGGCTGTGCAGGAGCACAAGGTGGGCCCAGGGATGAGGGGCTGCAGGGGCCAATGAGGCCCAAGGGCACATGTGTCAAGCAGTGTCAGTCAGGCAGGAGAATGAACCTTATAACAAATAGCCCCATATGCGGGCCCCCATGGTGGAAGTGTCTGCACCCCCCACAACAAAGTAGGCAGGTGGCTGGCCAGGTAGGCATCCTCTCCAGTTATTCAGGAACCCAGGCTGACAAGGTGGCCTTGAAGCTGTCTGTATGGGCAGGCCAGGTGACCTTCTGTAGGGGAAGAAAAAGTCTTTTCCTTCCATCCTAAATTAGACTAAAAAAGATATATCAAGGGAAGAAAGGCGAACTGTTAACATGTGTAGTCCATGTACTTCACAGGGAAGAAACCACAGCAACCAATAACAGGTAGTTTTAGAACCTGGGTTGTCTAGCATCTGAACAAGGAACAACACATTTGGAGAGAAGAGACAAAGGGAAAGAAAGGTAACAGGATCCCAAGGGGAGCAAACTGGGAAAGGTGTCTTGGTTCACTCCAGCTGCCATCACAGAACTCAAGACCTGGTGGCTATAAACAGCAAGAATTTCAGAGAGCTCATAGTTTTGGGGGCTGGAAGTCTAAGAACATGGCACCAGCAGGGTCAGGTGCGGCCCCTTCCTGGTTCACAGACAGCAGATTTCTCATTGTCCTCACAGGGAGCAAGGGGCTGGGAGCTCTAAGGTCTCACTAGGGCACTGACACCACCCATTCCTGAGGGCTCCCCACTGGTGCCATCATCATCTCCCAAAGGCCCCACCTCCGATGCCTTGGGTATTAGGATATAACCTGTTAATTTGAGGGAACATGAACATTTAAATCATTGACAGAATGTAAATATTTTGGGGAAACTAATGAAAGATAAGGTTCATCAGTGTAGGTCCCTCTTGGTACCCACTTTTTACCCCCATCATGGCCATAAAACTTCCCTGGGAGGCAGATTCATGGCAGCCCTCAGTTCTTAGCAGTTTCTTTTAGTCACATATTGGGAGCCACAGAAGGCATTTCTGCATCTGTAGATTCTCATTTGCCTCCAGCTCAAAATAATTCTCCTGCCCAAGGGGCTTATTTTGGGGTGGTATATTTCCATCCCCCTTAGGGTGCAGCTTCAGAGAGCACCTCCCGATGTGGGTGTATAGGGGCCTCCAACCCCCATCCCCTGGTCTGTTGTTTGCAGCTGAAGCTGGAAGATGACATGGAGCACCTGCGGGAGGAGATGGAGAAGACCCAGAAGTTGCAGACAAGGGAGCAGCAAGCCTTGGCCAAGTGGCAGGCAAGTGCTGGTGAGAAGCCAGCGGGAAAGCCTGGCCAGGCCCCAGGGCACCACAGGGCCTCCAGTACCTGCAGACCCTCGAGATGGGACTCACTGTCACATGTGGACAAGAGCACAGAACTCCCCCTAGAATCAGGACTGCACATGTGTACTTGGCCCAGACTGGCCATTTTGGAGATGCAGGGACTGAGACACACATACCTGGAGGCTGTCATTTGGGGCCCATGTTATCACCACACAGTGATGGGGGCTCTGTGTGGCCCCTGCTTGCCAGCTGTGCTGGTTTTCTGTGGATCACAGGGCCCAGGGAGACATGTCAGCATCCCTGAAGTGGCCCCTACAAGTTGACTAAAGTTGGGCATGAGTGGACATAGGGTGGCAGTCCCCATGGAAATGCCTCACCTCCAGCCCCTGCCCTGCAGGAGAAGGTGCAGGAGCGGAGACAGCGAGTCATGATGGAGTTTAAGAAGATGGCTGTCCTTCTGGTGGAGGAGGAGCAGCACCTCCTGCAGGCCCTGAGGCAGGAAGAGGAAGACACGGCAGCCAGGCTGCAGCAGAGTATGGCTGCATTAGAGCAGCAGAGCTGCTCCCTAGAGACACTCCTACTGCAGCTGGAGGACCGTAGCAAGCGGGAGCCCTTGCAAATGCTACGAGTGAGGAGCACCTGCTAACCTGACTTCAGGGTGGAGGGTGCACAGGCTCTGGCTGGGTGTGGTTGGCCTGCTGGCACAAATAGACATCAACAGGGAAGGCTCCATCTCTGTCAGCTCAGAGCTGCATAACAGATACCACAGGCTGGGGGCTTAAAAGGACATTTATTTTTTCACAGTCCTGGAGGCTGAAAGTCAGGGATCCAGGTGGGGACAAAATTGCTTCCTGAGGCATCTCTCCTTGGTGTCTGGATAGCCATCTCCTACCTGTGTCCTCATATGGTCATCCCTCTGCATCTGTCTCGATCTTCTAAGGACACCAAGTCACACTGGATTATGGCCCTCCCTAGGGACCTCATTTCACCCTCATCACCTCTGCAAGGCCCCATCTCCACATACAGCCTCATCTGAGGTCCTGGGGGCTGGGTTCCAACACGTGGATATGGGGGACACAATCAGCCTGACAGGTTTCTGCCACCTGTGTTCTTTCTGCATTTCATTCCTAGTCCAGGGGCTGTAGCCCAGGGGCAGCAGTCATTCACATGGTGATGTGAGGCAGGGACACACCAGCCATCTCAGGCCTGGTAAATTCAAGGCAGGAGAAAGTCATTTGAATCCATCTGAGAGGATTTGGAATGGGGGAGAAGGTGCTGGGGATGGGCCTGCATTTTGAGGCCTGAGAAGTGGGAGTGATTGTGTTGCCCAGCAGGTGGGTAACTGGCTCAACTGTGTGGAATGACAGGACCCATAGCAAAAAAAAAAAAAATATCTCACATTGTGAGCCATTACACATTCAGTGTATTTATACAACTGAAGCAGATGCCATGTGCAAGGCCAGCCCGTTTCATGCCTGTTGTCCTGGCATCTTGGGTTTTGTCCCCAGTAAGTGTCCTGGTTTAGTTAACAGACTATGCGCTTGCCCCAACTTTGGGGAATACTTGGTCTTCTAGTAAAAAGCAGCTTGTTCACCACCCCCTACACACTTCTGAATACAGGCCTACAATGTGAGGGCAACCTTGGGTCTCCTATGCCTTCCCTGCCATTGAAAGCAGGACAGTTTCCATGTCCATGCTCCCATGCAGGGGAGCAGCAGGAAGCCTGGGCAGCCAAAAGATAGGGATCCACTCAGGAAACTGGGAGAGGTCATGGGAAAGCATTACACATTCTTGCTCCGCAAGCCAGAAATGTCCACACATGGTGTTTGGGGATGCCCCACATTCCTAACAAGGCATCATGGATCTCCCTCCCTGTTTTTGCAGGATATGAAGGAGTCACTGGACAGGTAGATGACCACCTGATATGGAGGCAGGGAGGGCTTCGCATGTGGCCAGAGGGGACAGCATACCTGTCCCTTCTGGAGCAGGAACAGCGTGAGTGTGCAGTACCCAGAGGCCACCCCCATCGCACTGAGGACTGTCTGCAGAGTCCCTGGGCAGATAGAAGTGCTCAAGAGCTTCCAAGGTATGTGGGGCCTGTTCTCTCAGCTGGGACCACCCTTGGGGGTGTTGATATTCACTGGTCATTCACACTCTACCCTTACTGGCCACTCCCAGGAGATGCCCAAATGGCCCCCAGCTCATCTCCTTGGCACCACCAATATCGACCACTGGAGTATGGCCCAAGCAGGGACCCAGGCTCACAGCTGGAGTTGGCCAAGGGGAGGACTGGGAGGGAGTAGTCAGGGAGAATAGGGATGATTCACCCCCATCCTCGTTGCTGCGCCTGTCTGCAGAGAACGTGGTGCCTGACCCTGCCACAGCGTACCCCTACCTCCTCCTGTATGAGAGCCGCCAGAGATGCTACCTCAGTACCCCACCAGAAGGCATGCCCTGCAGCAAGGACAGGTTCCTGGCCTACCCCTGTGCAGTGGGCCACCAGACCTTCTGCTCAGGGCGGCACTATTGGGAGGTGGGCATGAACCTCACTGGGGATGCACTGTGGGCTCTGGGTGTGTGCAGGGACAATGTCAGCCGGAAGGATAGGGTCCCCAAGTCCCCCGAAAACGGATTCTGGGTGGTGCAGCTGTGCAAGGGAAAGAAGTATGTGCCCCCCGTGTCAACCCTGCCCCCCATCACGCTGACAGAGCCCCCCAGCCACGTGGGCATCTTCCTGGACTTTGAGGCTGGGGAGGTGTCTTTCTACAATGCAAGCGGTGGGTCCCACCTGCACACCTATGCCCAGTCTGCCTTCCCAGGCCCCCTGCAGCCTTTCTTCTGCCTCGGGGCCCCCAAATCTGGCCAGATGGTCATCTCTACAGTGACGCTATGGGTGAAGGGATAGGCATGCAGGCAGAGAGCGAAGGCACACGCTTTCTTCAGAGGGTGAGGTGGTCCTGTTCAGCATGGCCACCTGCCACACTTATCTTAGGTGGAGACCCACGGTGGTTCCAAGGGGCTCCTGGTGCCAGAATCTAATTGTGATTAAAGCAGTTAAATGTTGAGACTGTATTCCCAGGTGCCTCAGAGGGAACTCATACCAGTCTCTGAGTACATATCTACAAACCAGGCCAGTGCGCTGTAGTTTTCTGTAGTCATATCCTTCACCAACCACTCACTGGGGCCGCTGAGTTCGGGTTATTATAGGTATAGCTGTGGCCTGAGGGGTTCACCTTCCTTGTCATCATCAGTTCCATATACGGGCCCTTCACAGGGGAAACAAGAAAGTATGACTTTTCAGGGTGAACCCATAAAAACCTTACAGCTGCCCACCCCATCATTCCCTTAAGTTGCATTTGCAGGGGGGGCGGGTGTAAAATTCAAAGAGTAAAGATCATGGGGGTGTGTGTGGGCGGGGCGGTCCTTTCCTTTCACTCCCTACCTCATCCTCGCAGTTCCAGGTGCAATAACAGCCCTGTAACAGTCACTAGCACCCCCGCATTCAGGTCATGCACTCCTTCCCCAACAAGACCAGAATCCCCAGGGGCAGAACCCCTCCCCCATTGTGTCCCGTCTGTGGCACCCGCCAGAGGGCACACGGGGATGGTTCGGGGTCACCCTAGGCCTCTGGGTCGCCGCACTGCGTGACTGTGCGGGGCGCCCCGCTGGCCGGGCCGCTGCACCCCATCCTTACCCGAACCTGAGCAAGTGGCCAGGCTGCCCTACAGCTGAGCGAGCAGGAGGCACAAAAACCGCACGCGGGCGGCAGCGTGGACGCTAGGTCTGCAGGCGAGCAGCTTCCACTTCGGTCTCGCCTGCGGGCCTCGTGACAGAACACAACCAATCCGGGACTAAAGTGAGTTTCCAAAAAAAAAAAAAAAAACAGCTGCTTCCGGCTTCCGCTACGGCTCTTCTTCCTTCCCGCATCCCGGAGCTCCACTGCTCGGTGTCTTCTGCGCCTCCCGTTACCAGAGGCCCCGCGCCCGCAGGTTTCCAGAGTGCCCCCGGCCTCCGCCAGCTCCCTAAAGTCCCGGCGGAGAGCGCGTCTTCCTCCGTCCCCCGGCACCATGGCCGCCACCGACGTGTCCACCAATCTCCAGGAGGAGGCCACCTGCGCCATTTGCCTAGACTACTACACCGACCCGGTGATGACAGACTGCGGCCACAACTTCTGCCGCGAGTGCATCCGGCGCTGTTGGGGCCAGCCCGAGGGCCCATACGCTTGCCCGGAGTGCCGTGAGTTGTCCCCGCAGCGGAATCTGCGGCCCAACCGCGCTGTCGCCAAGATGGCCGAGATGGCGCGACGCCTGCACCCGCCGTCACCTGTCCCGCAGGGCGTGTGTGCTGCGCACCGCGAGCCGCTGGCGTCTTTCTGCGCGGATGAGCTGCGCCTGCTGTGCGCGGCCTGCGAGCGCTCTGGGGAGCATTGGGCGCATCGCATACGCCCGCTGCAGGACGCAGCCGAGGACCTCAAGGTGCGCGGTGAGGGCGGTGCCAGGGATGTGGCCTGCTATGGGTGGGTTGTGCGCAGCCTGGCTCTGGTCGGGAGAATGCGGTCTGGCCTGGGGTTTGGTAGGAGCTCAGCCTGACCCAGACAAGCACTTTTGCGGTGCTGAGGCACCACTCACCAGTGGGGAAGCCAGCGTGGGGACCTGGGGGAAGGAGGCATTCTCTTTAAGGCTGAAGTCCCTGGGTGACGGTGGGAGGTCCCACCGTCTGGGGCCGGTATTGGGCAAGTGTGACTGAACAGTGGCTGGGATGTAATACAGACCAGGAGAAAGTGGGCAGAGAACCTCAGAGGCGGCTTTCCCTCAGGAGGGACTAATGAGGACTGCCAATTTTGGGGGGGAGGGTGTAGTCAGGGGCCCTCGTGGGGGTTAGAAGAAGTCCTGGGGAGAAGAGTCTATGGGAGGCAGGCAGGGACCTATCTCGGAGCCACACGTTGGGAACAATGGGGGACAGAGCCTTTGTCCTGGGAGGCAGACGCCAGAACCCATCAGGCTTTCAGAATGGCGTGCTTGGGGTCACCACTGCCATCTGACACTCCAGGGCTCAGCTGGGCTTGGACCCCAGGCTGAGAAGCCTTGTTTGCCTGTTGTAGAAATGCATGTCCTTCAAATCCATACCAGCACTCCCCTCTCTGCTGGCGGCCTCAGGGCAAACAGCTCACCTGGCTGACCTGGCCTGTTGCCTTTGCAGGGTTTGTTCCTGGAACCCAGGTATTGATACATGGGCTTGCATTTTGTGTCATAGCTGGTAGCCTGTGTTTGCCTAGGTGTGCTATGTAAGAGTTTAGTCAGTGTTAGAATGGATACCTGACCAGTTGATTGCTGTCATGGAACAAGCTTGTGGGGCACCAGAATAAACCTATTCTCCAGTTCACGTCAGCGAGCTTGTCTTGCCGATTTTCCTCTCAGTTTGAAGTATTAACATGCACGTAGGATTGTCTGCTCTTGTTCAGCAGGTTTGCACTTCTGTCACCAACACCCTGATCAGGGTACAAAAGTGGCTGTGAGATCAGAGAGTGACCAGCAGCTCTCCAGAGGCTCCTTCTAGCTGATCTGATAGTCTCAGAGGGCAGCATTTAACCCCACAGTAGGGGAGGGGAAACCTTTTCCCCTATTCTGTTAGGTTCATGATTGAGGCTTACAAGTAAATCTGACAACTGACAGGTTAATAGATAGAAAGACATAGTTTTATTAGCCTTAAATTTTATGTGGTATGAGTTCATAGAAAATTTAAAAACCAAAATCAGGGATTAGACTCAAGGGCTTATATTCCAGAGAGAATGATAAATTGTGGAGAAGTGAGTAGACAAAGGACACGGGTTGGGCTTCTAGGGCCAATAACTTGTGGAAAAGGAAGTAGGAAATATATAAGGGAACCACTGGAGAATCAGCTTTGTTTTAGTAAGGTCAGTTTAGGCATATTCACAGTGACACCTCATCTCTGTTGAGGAATGTGTCCCCTTCCTGATACAGGGAGGCCACCCTTCTCATGGGATATTCATGTCCTGCCTTTAGGCAGAAAGGAGGAAGGTAGAGGGTTCTTCCTGTATGCCCACTTTGTCTACTGCCCTGGTGCCCACTTTGTCTTAATGCTGGGGATGCCCCAGTGAGCCAGTGGTAAATAGGGTTGAAGTCAACAGTAGGGTATTGCCTGAGGTCAGGCCCAGGGCAGCCAGATCCACGTGTCCCTTTGTTTCTTCTGGTGAAGCTGAACCTTGGCAGGCCCCGGACAGGCACAGGAGCAAAGGGATGTGCAGGAAAGAAGGCTGTGACGCAGTAGAAAGTCAGGCTGGAGAGGTTGCTGGGAGGCAAGGAAAGGTAGAAGAAAGTTAAAAACAGGCAAGGGGGTCAGGTTGGCCTGAGAGGTTGGAGGTCATACCATGAGCAGGCAACTCCTAGCAGATTGAGTTTGCTCTGTCCTTTTTGTTCTTGATAGTTTCCCACCACTGGCTCCTGTCTGTCAAGTTAGGCTTGGCTGGGGCTGGGGCTGGGCGGGGTCACTGGCTGGCCTTACCTCCCTGCAGGGCAAGCTGGAGAAGTCCCTGAACCACCTGCAGAAGCAAATGGAGGATGCACTGCTGTTCCAGGCCCAGGCAAAGGAGATCTGTGCACTGTGGCAGGCAGGTGGCTGGGTGCCTAGGTCCCAGGGCTGGAGGGGTGGGGCACTGGTGTGCCCACTGCTGGGTGCCACCCATGTCCTTCACACTAATGTTCCTCATAAGGCATCACTCCTGCTCCAGACCCTCAACCCACCCCATGGTGGCTGGGGGGAGGGCTGGTAGTGGGTTTCCGATGGCTCACCAGCCCCCTCTGCCCCATGCAGAAGATGGTAGAGACCCAGCGGCAGAACGTGCGCACAGAGTTTGAGCGGCTGCGCTGCCTGCTGGTGGAAGAAGAGCAACAGCTGCTGCAAAGGCTGGAAGAGGAGGAGCTGGAGGTGCTACCCCCACTGCAGGAGAGCGTTGCACGCCTTGGGCAGCAGAGTGCCCAGCTGGCTGATCTTGTCACTGAGCTGGAGGGGCGCTGCCAACTGCCGGCGCTGGGACTGCTGCAGGTGAGCGTGGGAACATGGGCGGAAACAGATGGGGTGCCAGGATAGGGTGCTGGCAGGGAAGAGGAAGCCCTGGGCAGAGCAAGCCATCTGACCTTGGCCTCTTCTGGACCTTCTGTGTCCTACCTGTGAAGTACTGGGGTGAGGGCAGGACCAGTATCCCAGGTATGACTGCAGGTCCCTATGGGCATGGCTGGAGAATGGATACGAATCCTCAACCCCACTGAGAACTGCTGTTGACACCTGTCCAGGAACTCCATGGGAGATGAAGGAAGTGAAAGTTTGGGTGACTTAATTGACCACCACCCAAGGCCTCAGCTACACCTGAGTCTAGGGTCCTGGGTGTCCCTCCAGGCTTTCCCCCAGCCATCCTCCATGGGAACATATCATTTTCCTAATAGGACACATCTGAGTTGCCCAGAGTGGCCAAGTGGTCTCCACAGAGGGCAACTGTCTTTCTTTAAGGCCCACGCCCCCTGCCCCTGCCCCTGCCCCTAGGCAGAGGCACTCCTTCCCTCTCCTGAGTGGTGAGGGCAGCCCCAGGCCTTGTGACAGCCAAGAATGCCCTGTTTCCCAGCATCCAGCAACAAATAAGGATGGTTGTTTGTAACTACTTTGTACCCAGCCCAACCCAGGCCCTTTGCACATGCATTTCCCAGGCCTGCACTATCTTCTCATGATCCTTGGGTTTTAGAAACTCACCAGTCTCCCTTGTTTTTTGAAACCTGGTAGGTTTCATGTTGCCCAGACAGAACTACTGTGTGTAAAATCTCCTGCGAGCACCCCGCCCCCCCACCCCCCTGCGCCAAAGGAGCCCTTATTGGGCTCAACGTCTTACTTGTCTTTGCATCTTGGTGTCTGGCCTAATAGCTGGTGTACATTGCAGTTAGAATGACTTTTTTTGGGGTTCATTTGGTTGACAAAGTGGACTGGGTCCCTGCCATTTCCCAGGCAGTGCTCTTGAAAGACAGACAAATGACGATGTGGTTCGTGGGGGGAGAGGGGGGCATTGTCCCACGGAGGTCACCAGTTCCCAGTCAGAGCACATGCCTGGGTTGCAGGTTCGATCCCTGGACGGGACATGTGCAAGAGGCAACTGATTGATATATCTCTTACATCAGTGTTTCTCTACCTCTTTTTCCTTCCCTTCTCCATAAAGATAAATAAATAAAATCTTTAAAAAAAGAAAAGACAAGGTATTTGCTGCCAAGAGCTGCCATTCCAAATAACAGAGTGTCTCTGTCAGCTTAGGCTGTGTAACAAAAGCCACAGGTGGGTAGCTTAAGTAACAGACATTTATTTTTCCCAGTCCTGGAGTCTGGAATATGAGATCCAGGTGTGGGCAGGGCTGGTTCTCCTGAGGCCTTTCTCCTTGGTATGTAGACCACCATCTTCCCTGTGTCTGCATATGGTTGTCTCTCTGTGTGCGTCTGTGTCCTCAATCTTTTCTTCCTATAAGGACACTGGTCACAAGCATTAGGGCCCACCAGAGTGACATCATTTCAACCTAATAGCCTCTTTAAGAAGTGCAGTCTCCAAATATAGCCCAGTTCAAGGCCCTGGGTATTGGGGCTCCAACAGTTAGATGTGGGGGCTACAGTCAGCTGGTGACACTGAGTAAAATGTGCTCATGCAGTGATTTGGGAGAGTAGCACCTAGGCAAAGGGGCTGCATCTGAAAGTTGGGCCATTAATGGAGGCTGGGCAGGTGCCTGGAGGGTAGACAGGGCGCAGGAGCAGGTGAAGCTGCCAGGAAACAGGAAACAGTGGGCACATGTAGGCCAGGCTCCCGACTGGGGTAGAGCTGGTCCCCCTCCCCCGGAGGCCTAGATGCACCTGGCCTGTCCCCAGTACCCGAGGGTACTCCAGGCTCTGGGTGGGTGAGCTGGCAGCCAAACACCCCTTATTGAGGGAATGGGGCTGGGACTGCAGCCTGGCTGCGTTCCAACTTCTCAGTGTCCCCATAACTGGACATACTTGGCACAGACCAGGGACCATATGGGGTGGGGGAGACACTGGAGCATAGAGGTGGGGCCAGGACCATGTGACAAGCACTGATACCACATGTCTCTCCCACAGGACATCATGGACACCCTGCACAGGTAGGAGCCCAGCCTTTCCCTCGGGAAGGCGGTCGGGTGTGGGGGGGCTTGTGCTGGGGGTGATGCCTGGTTGCCCCTCCAGGGTCCAGGATGTGAAGCTGCAGCCGCCCGAGGTGGTGCCCATGGAGATGAGGACGGTGTGCAGGGTCCCAGGGCTGGTGGAGGCCCTGCGGAGGTTCCAAGGTGGGTGTTGTGGTGTGTGGTGGGGGGGTGTGGCCAGACAGCTCTGGTCCAGAGGGAGTGGCTGCCCTGGTGTGTTTAGGAAAAGCGGGAGTCAGTCCCTCAGGTGTCAGGGCCCCTGTGTGGGCCCTGGGCCTGGGAGCCCAGTATGAAAGCTGGGCTGGAACACTCTGGGGATTGGAGAGTGGACATAGAAAGCCCTCAGGTTCCTCCTGAATCTCAGGACAATGAATCGAAAAGCAGTGTGGGGCCACTTTCCAGAACATCCTGAGTTGAGTTGCAAGTGGTGAGGTGAGCTTTCCAAGGAAGTCACAGGAAGGGGAGCAGTCATTTTACAGCCAGTCACTCTAGCCAGCTACAAGGATGTTTGAGGGCAGACCTCATGTAGGTTGGTGGAAGGGGCCCAAGGGGTGACCACTGCTGTGTCTGCAGGGGACATAACACTGGATCCTGGCACTGCCAACCCTGAGCTGGTCCTGTCGGAGGACATGCAGAGTGTGCGGCGGGGGGACCTGCGGCAGCCCCTGCCCGACAGCCCCGAACGCTTTGACCCCGGGCCCTGCGTGCTGGGCCGGGAGCCGCTGAGCTCAGGCCGCCACTACTGGGAGGTGGAGGTGGGTGAGCGGGCCAGCTGGGCTCTGGGTGTCTGCAGAGAGAATGCCAACCGCAAGGAGAAGGGCGAGCTCTTCGCTGGCAATGGGTTCTGGATCCTGGTGTTCCTGGGTGGCTCCTACAACTCCTCTGAGCGAGCCTTTGCCCCGCTGCGAGACCCACCCCAGCGCGTGGGCATCTTCTTGGACTATGAGGCTGGGCACCTGGCCTTCTACAGCGCCACTGACGGGTCACTCCTGTATGCCTTCCCCCAGACGCCTTTCTCAGGGACATTGCGGGCCCTCTTCTCACCACTGTCCAGCAGCCCTACCCCCATGACCATCTGCCGACCCAAGGTGGGGCATGGGAATAGGATGGCTCCCCAGTGAACAGGCCTCTCAGGAACTTGTCCTGTCTTTGGCTCTTCAAGGTATCCTGAGCCATGCACAAGTTCCCAGTGCTGTCTTGCCTGCATAGTAAAACCCCTCTCTAGTTCCCAGGAAGCTCTGTGCAAACATGTGCAGGGCTCGTGACATCTTCCAGGGGACCCTCTGTGGCCATCCTGTGTTGAGACCCCCATCAGCAGCACAGAGCCTGAGGGAGGGTCCTGGGAGCTCTGCACAAGTCCAGCTGGTCAGAGGTGAGGCACCAGGGCCTGTGGAACTTTCTGGGGTTTCCGCCCCAGGGCTGCACCCACAGAGAACTGCTGTACTGTGAGGTTGCAGGCTGGGAGGTGAACCAACAATCTCAGGGTCTGGTCTTAGAAAATAGTGCTGAGTGTGGCTACCTCATTAATCAGGATACAGCAGTCCTCAGGAGAGGAGGGGGCATGGGAAAAGCCAGGGAAAGGTCACTTGGAGCAAAAAGTGCTGCACAAGGGGGCTGAAGATCTTGGGTGCAGGATCTCAAGCCCACCAGCATGGACCACCCCAGGGTTCTTCAGTGTGCTCCTTCCTGCCTCAGAGCTGAGCACTAGCTCCGGAAAGATGTTCTGGTTCTACCTAGGGAAGGGGTGAGGCTACACCCTGCCCCCCCGCAAGAACCTGGGATTTGTTTTGGCTTGTTTCGGTGCTTCTTCACATGAAGACATGGTGCAGCATCTCTGCACTCCAAGATGGTATTACCTGTTGTAAGGATCACTCTCACAGTAAATAAACTAACATCTCGTCTGTGATCCCACTGTCGTAAGGAGAGGGCGGGAGAGTCTGGCCAAGGCCAGCACTCACAGCACAGTTGGGGACACAACAGCTGCCTGGTCATTTAATGCAGCTACCACAGAATTCTTTTTCAAATAACCTGATTGAAAATTTTAGGTTCCATGGTGTGCAATAGCTAATTCCTTGATTATTTATTTACTGTTTCTCCCATTGGACTTCATTATTTTATGTATGTACCACTTTGAGTATCTTCACAATTCATTCAAATTACATATATGGGAGGTTTTTCTCTGTGGAGCCAGGAGTCTGCCACTTTTCTGGCTGGGGAAGTTTCCCCATTCCTCTCCAGTTCACTGCCCATATCTTTCACTCCCATGCGGCTGGGATGGGGTTGAGAATCTGAGGATACTTGTTGGTTCCTGCCTGGAGCAATATTTGAACTTTAAAGTTGGGGACTTCCCAAATGGCTACTGGAACCCACCCAGGAGATGGGACAGCCGAGGGATGAGAGCTCATAGGAGTATATGACCACCCGAGAATAGCAGGCCGGACACCTTGGCTGTGGCCCTGGAGCAAAGCTGGACAACTGTGAGGGGAGGCAAATACTCTCCTACCCATGTGATTCTTGTTTGTGGCCCTGTAATAAAAGATCAGTGAGAAAAACAAGTTTATTGATACATTCACCTCATGCACATGGAAGAAACCCAGGGAAACTGAGTAACTTCAGCAGCAACTTAGCACTCTGGCTTCTACACCGTCTGTCACAGGAGGGTAGGAAGGCTGGTTAGGGGGTTCTGTAGATTTCCCAGAGTCAACTTAATGCTGACACAGTCCTTCCTGGGGAGAGGGGGCACCACATTTTAGGGAGGTAGGGCTTGCAGCTTCTCTACTGTTTCTTGTCAACTGCTTCTAGCCCAAATGTTCCTGTTGCCAAACTGGGATGTTTGGAGTAGAATGCTCAGCCATTCATCACCAGGTGACAGAAGAAATGAGCATATTTGATGCCCATCCACACATGCTGAATGCACTTTGCATGTGTTCTACCTGCTGAGCCAGTGGGCCACAGGGTGGTCCTTCACTTTTCAGGGCACCACAGACCACAGTGAACAGAAAAGATCCTGCCCACAGAGCTGATAACTTCTCATACTGACTAGGAAGATGTGTCCCAACAAGCAGTGAGTCTCCAATACTAACAATGGGCATTTCTTCAGTATTGGTGAGCTTGTCCTACTTTAGTAGTGTCTTCACTAGCAGCTGGTGTTTCTTGCACCAATAGCGGGTGTCCCTTATACCAGCAGTTCTCAAACTTTGGCACCAGGGACTGTTTTCATGACAGGTTTTTTTTGTGGGAGGGGTGGTGTGGTTTCAGGATGATTCAAGCACATTATGTTCAAGCTGACCTGTGCAGTCCAGTTCTTAATACACCCAGACTGGTGGCGGTCCAAGGCCCAGAGGGTGGGAACCCCCACCCTGCACTACCAGTGGGTGTCTCCTGCACTGGCAGTGGGTGAGTCCCACAGTGACAGGAGCTCTCAGGGGCTGTCATGAGAATCTCAAGGAAAATAAAGTTGGATGGAGGTAGGGAGCCAGATGTCAGATGTGAGATGTGGTCAGGTACCAGGGCTTCCATCCCATAATTGCTCTCTATGAGCCTAGAATGGCCACAGGGGGGAGCCTGAGGAAAGCAGTTTAAAACATGAGCCTTCTGGCCCTGGCTGAGTGGCCGGGTTAGTTGGAGAATCCCATACACCAAAGGGTTGCAGGTTTGTTCCCTATTTAGGGTACATGCAGGAGGCAACTGATATTTCTCAAGTCAATGATACTTGCCCACCCCTCAGAAGTCAATAAATATATCCTCAGGTGACAGTTTTTAAGAGCATTCTGGGCATGACAAGTGCTGTGAAGGAAACACCAGGATGCACGGGGGTGGCGGGGGGGCACCCCAGGTGTGTGTGACTGCTCCAATCCCAGTGTGTGGAAAAAAGGCAATCTGAGACACAAAGACAGCTGCTCGGCCTGAGTGGGTGGGTGTTCCTGATGTCTCCTTTTCCCCCTCTTATGACCCTTCTTGAGTGTTCTACCGGATCATGTTAAGACAGAGGGTCTTCATTTGTTCCCATTCCACAAGTCTTACTCAGCTAATCTGACAGCAAGTCTGCGCAGTAGCACCCGTTCCAGAGTCAGCAGGAGAGGCAGGACTGCCAGAACAGAGCTGGATTTTAAATAACTTCACTGTCTGCTTCTCATGTCCCCTCCCCTCCCTTGACCTGTAAAGGGACAATTAAGCGAGTTCCATAAACTCCCCATTGAAGAACACGCACCATCACTCCAGGTGCGGGTGAAATCAGGCTAGACTCCACCCACACACACCCCGACTGGAGACTGTGGCCACACTTGAAGGAGATGCCTTGTGCTTGAGGTCTCAAGGACTGTGCCCCAGCCAGCCTTTCTGGAGGCATCTGGAGCCATGAGGTCTTCGTGGCGGACCCCTCTGTCCACCTTCACTATGTGCGATGTCCAGTGCCCCAACCCCCACAACCTCTGCGCTCCTTCCACCTACCCTTCCGTGCACCATGCTTACCCCATATGCTCCGCACTCCCCAGGCGCCTTTCCCCAGGTCCCTAGGCACACTCCGTGAACCCTGCACACCTTCGGTGCTCCCTAGCCTCTACCCGCCCCCCCCCCCCCGCCAAGCCCCATGTCTCTTTGAGGCCAGGCATCTACATTCACCCTCCACCCCATCCGAGCACCAGCACCCACCTCCTTCCTCTGTCCTGACACCTATGTGCCCTCGTGACCCCCACCCACATCCTGCCAGGGACCCTTGTTCTGCCCAGACCTTGCTCTCTCAACCACTCTTATTTTTTTGGTAATAATTTTATTGTGATAACAATTTTCACGCCATAGAATGCAGGTGTTTCAAGTGATTTTTAGTAATTCAGTAACTTTTACTAATTCCTCCATGACCACAATTCAAGCTCAGAACACCCATCCCCTCAAAAAGATCTTGTTTCAGGTTTTGTACAGGAGTTTTCCATTCGTGCATGGGTGGAGGGGGGGGCACCAGTCTGTGGTTTTTCCGAGGGGAGTGGGTCTTTGTTCCCTTCCCCACTGTTTTGTGAAGAATTGCTGTTGATTTCACCTTCAGTGTTTCTTGGAGTTCTCCAGTGAGCACATCCTTCCTATGCTTTTCCTTATGGGAAGTTTTAAATTACTATTTCACTTTAATTGCTATGGATCTGTTCAGATTTTCATTTCTTAAGTAATTTTTCTCTTTTTAGGAGTTTTCCCAGTTAACTTATGTGGTCTAATTTTCTGGCATAAAGGTCTTCAAAATATTTTATTATCCTTTTAATTATTAAAAGGTTGGTACTGATGTCTCATTTCTGACGTGGTTATTTGTGTCTTTTTTTGTCTTGGTCAGTAAAACCAGCATTTTGTGAAAATTACTTTGATCTTTTCAAAGAACAATTTTTAAATTTTATTCGGCATTCTCTATTTTTTTTCCTTATTTTCATTTCAGTAATTTCTACCTTCATCTTTATTATCCTCATTCTTTTGCTTGTTTTGGGGTTCAGGTTGCTTTTCTTTTTCTATTTTTCTTAAAGTTGAAGTTATTGATTTCAGATCTCCTGTTCTAACACAGGCATTTACAGCTATAAATTTTCCTTTATATTGTACACTGCTCCAGTTGCATCCCATTATTTTTTATGTTTTCATTTTTCCTAGCTCAAAACAGTTCCTAATTGTCTTTGTGTTTCTTTTTTTGACACATAGATTATTTAGAAATATGTTGCTTAATTTCCAAATATTTGAGGCTTTCCCAAATTTCCTTCTATTGTTGACTTCTGATTAAACTCCATCATTGTGAAAACACATACTTTGCTGTTTTATAGGCTGGAACACTGCCCATCCTGGAGAGTGGTCCATGTGCACCTGACAAGAATGTATGTTCTGTTGCTCTTCAGTGGAGTGTTCTGTTGTATCAACAATTGTGCCCATGGGATTTTAATTTACAGAGGTGACAACACCAGTAAAAGATTAACATTACTTATATTTCTCAAGAAAACAAGGCATTCCTCTGGATTCACATTACTGCCTGGTGTCAATTTCTTTTTCCAAAATAGGTCCATTTCTCCCTCTCTTCTCTGTGCTATTGTCGTGTGTGTGTCTGTGTATATACCTTTATATGTATACTTATATATACATACATATATACACACATATACAATATCTTTATATATTATAATCCCAACAATATAACTTTATAATTATTGTTTTATGTGATTAGCTTTTATATCAGTCAAGAAAGTTTTATTGATACTGTCTTCTATGTCAACATATGTACTTACGTTTACCATGCCTTTTATTTCTCCATGTAGATTTGAGTTTCATCTGGTTTTAATTTCCTTTAGTCCTTTAATATTTCTTGTAAGAAAAGCTTAGTAGCAGCAAATTCTCTCAGTTTTTTATATGTCTGGGAAATCATTATTTTATATTCATTGTTGAAGGATAGTTTTGCTAGTTATGGAATTCTTATCCAGTTTTTGTTTCTTTTAGCTCTTTAAGTGTGTTATCTCAGTACTTCTGTCCCCCACTGTTTTTAATGAGAAATCAGCTGTTAATCTTATTGAAGTTCCCCTGTATATGATACATTGTTTTCTCTTGCTGCTTTCACAATTTTTCCTTTGTTTTTGGCTTTCATTAAATTGACTATAATGTGTCTGGATATGGGTCTCTTCGTGTTTACCTTTTGGAGTTTATTGAGTTTATCGGATGTGTATGTTAATGTCTTTCATCATGTTTTTAACCTCCTCTCACTTTCCAGATCTCACATGTACATGTATGTTAGTATGTATGTTGGTGTCTCACCGTTCACTGAGGTTCTGTTCAGTGTTCTTATTCTTCTTTTTTTCTTCTTCAGATTGGATCATCTGTATTGATACATCTTAAAGTTCACTAATTCTGTCTTTTGCAAGTCTGCTGTTGAGCCCTCTTTTTTAATTTATTCACTTCAGTTTTCGTACTCTTCAACTCTAGAATTTCCACTTATTTATTGTTTATAATTTTTGTCTTCTTATTAATGGTCTCTGTTTAATGGACCATTGCCATTATACTGTCTTTAACATTTTTATTTTTGTATTGAGGTGACTGCTACTTTTTTTAAACAGGGGTAAATGCATATAACATAAAATGTAACATCTTAACCTTTTTAAGTGTACAGCACAGTTGCATTAACTATATACATGCTGTTTTTCAACAACACCTAGAACTTTTTTATCTACCAAAGCTGAAATTCTACACACACTGACCAACAACTCTTCTTTTCCCTCTCCCACTACTGGCCACCACCGTTCTACTTACTCTTTCTAAGAATTCTACTATTTTAGATACCTTATAGAAGTGGATTCATTAATTTTTGTTTTCTTGTGACTGGATTATATCATTTAGCATAATGCCTTCAAGGTTTATCCATAGTATATCGTATAACAAGATTTTATTCTTCTTAAGACAGAATGATATTTCATTCTGCATGTATACGCTATATATGTATACATATGTACGTATATATCACCTTTATCCATTTACATGTCAATTGACATGTGTGATTTTTCTACCTCTGGGCTATTGTGAATAACCCTACAATGAACATGGGTGTGCA